ATTTTCCATTTTTTTGAGTGTTTAACTGATCGTGTCGGAAAAATCAAAAATCAAATTAATTCGATCGACAATGGAATAATGTATCAACACATGTAAATATGAAAATTATTGTTGATCCCAGTGTACATTCTCAGTTTGTCACCATTTTGTATCGTTTTTCCACCATTTTTTGGAAAATGAAAAATACATAAATTATATCAACTGATCAGAAATGGCGAGATCAGGAGCGATGAAGCTCTCCCAACTCCGTGAGTTGATGTGCAAGGTTCCAAATGGAGCCAAAGGTCGAGGTATCCAAGCCCTCCTGGTGGCCTCTGAAGATGCTCACCTGTCCGAATACATAACAGACCACGACAAACGTCGGGAGTTTATCTCCGGGTTCAAGGGCTCTCTGGGAACAGCTGTGATAACACCGAAGAAAGCAGTTCTCTGGACCGATGGGCGATACTTCACCCAAGCCGAGACCGAGCTGGATCCACCAGACGAGTGGACTCTGATGAAGAGAGGAATCTCTGGAACTCCGAGCGAGGAGGAATGGCTAGTCTCTGAATTGCCAGCAAATTCAACAGTTGGAGCTGATCCCAATTTATTGTGCTACTCAACGTGGATGCAGCTTCAGATGGCATTGAGTGCTGCTGGTCACAGTCTTCTGCCCCTCGAAGAGAATCTGATTGATCAAGTCTGGGGGGACGAGCAGCCACCACTGATCCTGGAGCCAATAGTCCCGCAGCTCTTGAAGTACACTGGAAAGAAGTCCGGGGAGAAAATAGCCAAATGCCGAGCTGAGATGAAGGACAAACACGTGCATGCTCTCGTCATCACTTGTTTGGACGAAATAGCATATCTTTTGAATCTACGAGGCTCCGACATTCCGTACAATCCAGTGTTCTTCGCTTACGTCATCGTCACAGAATCCGATGTTCATTTTTTCGTTGATAAGAGTAGATTGACACCTGAGGCTGAAGCTCATCTGGATAATGAGGGAGTTGACGCTGTCTATCATCCTTATGATGATGTCAAGGCTTTCTTGAAGCAACTTGTTGTCGGCGACGCACTTAAGGCCAACAATCAAAGGATTTGGATTCACAATACTGCGAATTATGCGTTGCATTATGCGTGCTCTGGGGTTCAGAAACATGTCAGCGTTACACCGACTAGGTTGATGCAGATTGTCAAGAATGAGGTGGAGATTGACAGCATGAAGAGGGCGCATTTGAGAGATGCTGCTGCTTTGGTCAAGTATTTTGCATGGCTAGAAGAGAAAGTCAAGAGCAATGTTGAACCACCGGTTACGGAGATCTCTGGGGCTACAAAGTTGGAAGAATTCAGGAGGTGAGTTTTATCAACGAGAACTCTCTGGAATAAATCCTAGAGTTTTGAGTTTCATTGAAATGTCTAATAATGAATTTCTTTGTCAACGTTCAACTGATTAGATTCAATTACATGGAAATTTTTCTATTGGAATAAAAAATATCTTCTGAGATTAGTGCATATAATATTTGATATCGTTTCAGCGAAATGGAGAACTTCGTGGGCTTGTCATTCCCCACGATATCTTCTGTCGGAGCCCATGGAGCTATAGTTCATTACACTCCATCAGCAGATACCGATGTACCAATTACAGACCAGGAAATCTACCTCTGTGATTCTGGCGCTCAATACTACGACGGGACCACTGATGTTACGAGGACTTTTCACTTTGGGGTGCCAACGAATTTCCAAAGGGAATGTTTCACTCGAGTGTTCAAAGGACAGACGGCCCTCGCCACAGCCGTCTTTCCAATTTTCCTGAAGGGAAATTATCTAGATACTCTCGCTCGAAAGAGCCTCTGGGACGTTGGGTACAACCTCTAATTTCCTGAGTCTAAAAAGAATTTTTATATTTCTGATATTTTTTTTTATTTATAGACTTCATTATCTTCATGGAACTGGACATGGGGTTGGGGCTTACCTCAATGTCCATGAGGGGCCCAATGGTATCTCTTGGAGACCTCTTCCAGACGATCCTGGAGTCCAGCCTGGAATATTCTTCTCTAATGGTCAAATTTTTATTCAGGAATTTTCATTCTTTTTTTGTCTTCTGTTTTATAGTGAAAAAACAGTTTTTTGGTTTCTTCGATTTTCAAACTAAAAATTAATTTGAGGTTTTTACAGAACCAGGATTTTATGAAGACGGACAGTTTGGAATTCGTCTGGAGAATGTTCAATATGCTGTACCTGCAAACACTTCATATCATCACAGAGACCTGCAATTCCTCACGTTTGAGCCCGTCACCTTTGTACCCATTCAAACAAATCTGCTTGATGTATCTTTACTCAGTGATGAAGAGGTAATTATTCGCTATTTACAAGCGGAAGAATGAGAATGAGAGTTTTCTCAGATCTTATTATGAATACTTCTTACTGCACCACTTTCACCCACTCGTTTATAATTAAAACAGAGTTCGAATATTTTTTGACATTTCTCATTTTCAATTTCCAGATAAAATACCTAAACAATTATCACACGCGTTGCCTGGAGGTCCTCCAACCCTTCCTCCAAGGAGAAAAAAATGCTCAGGCCCTGGCATGGCTAGAAAAGGAAACCAAACCAATTTCTAGATAATCAGGGATAATATCAACGGTCTGAAAAATTTTCTAAATACTGATTTTCAATCTAGATAAAATTTTTCATACTCTGAAAACTTGAA